AAGCCCTCCAGATCCCACGCTTAATCTGGTCGTCGGAAAGCACAGAGGTTTCATTGCAGTAAAGATCCCAAAACGACGATCAGAAGCATTAGCTCATGACCTCAGGTACTCTCTCGTCGGTAAATTTGCTAAAGGCAGACCTTCACTGGAGGTAATTCGTAAGTTTTTTGAATCCCTTAATTTCCACTCCATTTCCATTGGTCTCCTCTATGAGAAAGAGATTATTATCTCTCTCTCTAACAAGGAAGACTACATACGCTGCAGATCTAGGAACCCCTGGGTTATTTATGGTAAATCTATGACCATTACGAAATGGTATCCAGGCTACCACCCTGAGAAAGAATCTTCCTTTGTCCCTTGTTGGATTAACTTTCCCCATCTTCCTTTTCACTTATTTGATGAATCCCTGTTATTTGAAATGTGTTCCACCTTTGCTCAACCTTTGCGCTGTGACAGACCCACTCTTGAGAAAAAACGCCCATCTATTGCTAGGGTTCAGGTCGAAATTGACCTCCTTAAGCCCATCCCAGATAGAATTTGGTTAGAGGATGAAGGTTTTGCCCCCTTCTGGCAGCCTATTGTTATTGAAGAACACTTGCCATCCTACTGTAAACACTGTTTTAGGTTTGGCCACCAAGACAATTCTTGCCCGACCCATAACAAAAGCAATTTGAACACTGATAAAATTATTACTCCTAAAGTCCCTGATTTACAAGATGCTAACACATTTTCTCAAGATGCAGGTCATTCTAAGGATCCCAAACACTGGCAGAGAAAGGATAAGCCTTTGATTGGGGCTTCTTTTTATAATCCCCCCCCTCTCAACCCCATCCCGGTCCCACTCCCCCCAGCCCCTAGTAAAAATATGGTTTCTGATAATTCCTTTATCCTTACTTCTAATGAAATACATGCTGCTGACTTTCCTTCTCAAGATGCAGGTACCTATACTGATCCAACCAAAACTACTTTGATTGGAAAGGAAAAAATTGTTATGGGAGAACCCTCTAATACTCCTACCCTCCTCACCCATACCCTTCCCACTTCCCACACTCCCACACCCCACTCCATCCCCTCTAACTCCTCCTCACCACCCACATCTCCCCATCACTTACAACCTGTAGGGGACAATAATGATACTATTCAATTGCCCCCTAAGGATGCCCAAGGTAATGATGATGCCATATCTGAACCTCCCTCTCAGGCAGGTTTAGGAGACCCCATCCACAATGATGTGCAGTCACCCCTGTCTGAAACAGGGCTCTTAGATGCCATTCCCCCTCTGACCATAAGCAATGCCTTTGCTTCCCTATCTGACTCTGAGGAAAACATGGAAAAAGAACATCCTCCTCCTGAATCACATCATTCTGATCCCGACCAATCTACTCTTAACATTCTACCACCTCTCACATCCACCCAAAAGGCCCAACTACACATCCCTACTTCTAGCAAAAGAACAACTAGAAGCACCACTAAATCACAGATCATTGAATCCAGTACCCCCCAACTTTCCAATGATTAAAGCCCTTTTCTGGAATGCTCAGGGTATCTCTAATAAAGATACTCAAAACAGACTCCTTTCTCTTAAAAATACCCAAAATCCCAATATTATTGCCATTCTTGAGCCTATGGGACATGCCACTCAAATCCATCAGATTCAAAGCGCCACCCACCTCCACAGTAACTATTGCCACTCCCATAATAAAATCTGGCTCCTTTGGGACAACTTATTCCAGATATCGATTATTTCTGAATCTCCCCAACTCATCAACATTAAAATTCAGCATTCCGAACTCCACCAAGTTATTTATGCCTCTGTTATCTATGCTAGTTGTGACAGAACTAACAGGTTAGCTCTCTGGGATGACTTAACAAAATTTCATGTTTCCATCCACAATCATCCTTGGTTTTTAGGTGGGGATTTCAACTCCATCAGGGAGTTTACTGAATACAAAGGTAAATCTACTCCTAATGCTACCTCTATGCACAATTTTAACAATTTTATCCACCATAATGATCTTTTTGATGTTCCTCTAATTGGAGGGAATTTCACCTGGATGGGTAACCGCTCTGGCGGTACTGTTTTTAAAAAATTAGACAGGGTCCTCATTAACCAGCCCCTTTTTCAATCTGACCGGACCTACACCTGCACTAAAATGCCTTTTTTGTCCTCTGATCACACCCCTCTCCTTTTTCAAATCAAACCTCAATCCTCTGTCACTTACCCAACTGCTTTTAGGTTCCAAAATATGTGGCTCAATCACAAAGACTTCCTTGATATTGTTAAAACTAGTTGGTCTGAACCCTGTGATGGCTATGGGATGTACCTCTTTTCTCAAAAACTCAAAAGACTTAAAAAGGTTTTGAAAACCTGGAACACCTCCTCCTTTGGCAATATTTTCCAAAACCTTAAAAAAGCTGAAGAGGACCTTGCTAATCTTGAAAATAATCTTATTTCAAATGACAACATGGATAATCTTACTGCTTTCAAAAAAGCTCAGGCTGACCTCATCCTTAAACAAAATGATATAACAACTTTTCTGAAGCAAAAATCTAGAATTAACTGGATTAAGGAGGGGGACTCCAATACTAAATTTTTCCATAATTATGTCAAATCTAAACAGGCCAAGCTTTCTATTTTGAAAATCCAAGATTCGCAAGGTCATTGGGTGGAAGACCAAACTCAAATTGGTCAACTTGCTGTTGATTATTTTCAGCCCCTTTTCACTAAAGATGAGGACTCTAATATTGATGATTACAAAGAGATTCTTCATCATCTCCCTTCCTGCGTCACCCCTTTAGATAACCATTCCCTCCTTTTTCCTATTACTATTGCTGAATTAAAAAAAACCGTTTTTGATCTCAATAAAAATAGTGCAGCAGGTCCTGACGGTTTTAATGGTAGTTTTTATCAAAACTGTTTTGATATCATCAATACTGACTTGCTTAATGCTGCCAAAGAATTCCTCTGTGGGGTTCCTATTCCTAGGAGTATTGGCCACACTTTTATCACCCTTATCCCAAAAGATTTTAAACCCGCTACCTTCCAAAAATTCAGGCCGATTAGTTTGAGCAATTTCATAAATAAAATTTTTACTAGAATTCTTACTTCTAGAGTCACTCCTTTACTTACCAAATTCATCTCCAAAAACCAAAGTGCTTTCCAAAAAGGCAAGGAGATCTCTGACACTATTCTGGCCATGAAAGAACTTACTAACAGTCTTACTAAAAAGATCAATGGGCACAACATTTTTTTTAAAATTGACATGACGAAAGCTTTCGATCGTATTTCTTGGACATTTCTCAAAGCTGTTTTAGACAAGTTGGGATTTCACACCAGTTTCTCTAATCTTATTCTTAATAATCTGAAAGGAACTTGGTTCTCCATTCTTATTAATGGCAGCCCTTTTGGTTTTTTCCCTCCCTCCAGGGGGGTTAAACAAGGTGACCCGTTATCTCCTATTCTTTTTATAATTGTTTCTGAAGTGTTGTCTAGGAATTTAAATCATTTTTTTTCCGCGGGAGGTGGTAGGCCTTACCATACGCACATTGGCCTTCCCATCATCTCACACTTAGCTTATGCGGATGATCTCATTATCTTCTCCAATGGTAACAAAAATACTCTAACTAAACTTTTTGCTATTTTGGGGCTTTATGAAAAATGTGCTGGGCAAAAAATTAACTTTGAAAAAAGTTCCTTTTATACTAGCCCGAAAACCCCCCCGGGTACCATTAATATGATCCGCCACGTTTCTAAAATGAGTAAAGGCACTTTTCCTTTCATGTATCTTGGAGTTAATATCTTCCTGGGGAGAGTTAGAAATTCTTATTTTGTGCATCACGTGATTAAAATTGACCAGCGCCTCAATAGCTGGAAGAACAAAGTTCTCTCCCAAGCTGGTAAAATCATTCTAATCAAACATGTTTTGTCCACTTTTCCTCTATATTCCATGGCCTCTTCTAAAGTTCCCAAAGGGCTGCTTAAAGACATTGAGAAATGTTGTATTAAATTCCTTTGGCAAAAGGATGGCAGCCCTTCCAAAAATTTTAGTTGGAGGTCATGGTCCAAATGTTCTTACCCACTTAACGAGAATGGTTTGGGATTTCGCAGGTTACAGGATGTGCAAGACACTTTTTACCTTAAGCTTTGGTGGAAAAAAGATGAAGGACAAAGCATATGGGCCACTATATTTAATTCCTTTCGTTCTTGCAATCTCTCTGTTTTTTGGCCTTCTATGTTGTCTGTTAAGAACATTTATAGTGCTAACACTAGTGTCTCTGTGCATAATGGTACCCACTCCTTTTGGGACTCCAATTGGAGCCCCTTCGGGCCGCTAAACAGGTTCTCTAATGAGAATAATCACGTTCTCAGCATCAGGGAGGCCTATTCTGATATCCATAGTCACGTTGGGGATCTCCCTCTTGACATCATTCAAGCCTTGACCAACTGCCCCCCCACCTTTGTGGATGCTCCTGACACTGTTTACTGGAATCGCACACCTAATGGTGTGTTCACTTTCAAGTCGGCCTATGATGAGGTTCGGAGTAGGAAAATCCAAAACAAAAAATTGGGTTTTCTTTGGGAAAAGCCCATTCCAAAAAAAATTTCCTTTTTCCTTTGGCGTATTCTTAACAACTTGGTCGTGAATGGAGATTCTCTCCAAAAAATGGGTTTTCATGGTCCTTTTAAGTGCCCTCATTGCAACCACTATGACTCCTTGGAACACTTTTTCCTGCGTTGCCCTGCTCACATGCCCATTTGGCGTCATTTTGAGATTCCGAGTCATAGGTTGGACGGTAACCTTAAGGCAAATATTCTTAATTGGACTAACCACAACTCCTTCCTCTGCTACATCACGATTCTTTGGAATATTTGGAAATTGAGAAATGCCACCTTTTTTGAGGATATTGCTCCAAACTACTCTGAGGCCATTTACAATATCCGTAAGGATATTAGTTACCTCTATATCACCAAATGTCCCAAAAAAAAATCCTACCTCAGACCTCAAACCATTAGCTGGACTCCTCCCCCTCCTAATAATTTCACCCTTAATATTGGCCACTCTCAAAGAGGCCTTTCTCACCATTTTGGCTTCATTGTTCGGAATCATACGGGTGACATGATCACCCACCATCGTCAATGCCTTTTCTCTAAGTCCTATATCAAAGCCTTCATTGAAATAATCCTTTACTATTTGCATCATTGCAGGGATAATGGCATTCATTTCAACCAATTGGAGATCCCCGATCAGAAAGTTATTCAAACAATCAATATGCATAGCATAAATCACTGGGATCAAATTTTCAGCATTACATGCATTCGTAGGATTTTGGATCAAAACCGGATCGTCATGAAGCATATCAATGACAAAACCAACTGTGCGGCAAAAGAAATCAGCCTTGGGGTTGATGTCAAATCCTCACGATTTCTTAATATTCTCAAATTTGATGCTACAGCCTTTCCTTATGTCGTTTAATCTTCCTTTTGTCTCCTTGGTAGGTTGTTGGCCTAGTCCCCCTACCGTTATGATTGTATCTTTTCTTCCTAATAAATTGGTAAGATGTTCCCCAGCTCTTACCCCATCATTCGATGGTTTGCCACTGGGTTAAAAAAAAAAAAAAAAAAAAAAAAAATATATATCTCGGTCAGGGGATTTCGCTTTGGCTTTCTGTTTTCCCCTAACTGCATCCTCGGCTATGGAGGCAGAGCTCAAGGCGGTACATCAGTCGATTCTTATGGCGTTGGACAATGGATTTAAGGGTTTTGAGGTGGAAATGGATTCGCGATTGATCGTAGATGGCATTCTGGGTGGAGGATATACGGAAGGAAGATGGAAAAGGCAGTTCGAAGATTTAAGAAGATGGATGGTTAGCAGTAAGCTTTTATTCAGACATATCCCTCGGGATATTAATTGGCCAGCTCACTACCTTTCTAAAATTGTCTCTGATAATCAGGTAATCTTTCACAACATCAGGCAACTACCTGGACACATTAGGCGCACCTTAATAGCTGATAAATTAGGATTGAGTTATTTTAGACTTTGCTAGCCGATTTGCTCTGTATTTTTGCTTTATTTTGGGTCAGGTCTAGCCCCCCCAAAGTATAGTTTTTTTTCTCGTTCATTCATGTTTTACTGAAGGTATGCCTTCACTGAGAGGTATTGGTCTGGTCCCCCTCTCTCTTGTACTCTATTCTTATATTAATAAAACACTGGCAAGCGTTCCCCGACGTTTGCCCCACTGATTTTGGTGGTTTGCCTTCCGGGTTAAAAAAAAAAAGAAATTATTTTAAGAAAATATTTTGAATAAGGAATAGTTTGATGTAAATTAACCTTTTTAAATAATTTCATATTAAAAAATATCATTGGTCAAAGTTGATTGTTATTGACCAAGAAAAATCAGTTTACCGAATCTTTTCGGGACGGAGGGAGTAGATGTTTTGAATCTTTCACATGGATTACTAATATGCCATTAGTAATACATGTGGGGAAAATCCCAAATGCCCGTCGTCGGAGGACAGCATCCGGCCAATCGCCGGCACTCACCATCTTCATCTGTATCACTATCTAATAAAACAGACTTTTGTTTCGTTGTTTAGAGGATGTGGGAAGGATCTTCAAGTAGGGAATTGGCCACTTGGATGAATTTTCGCTTCGCATCAACTTCAGGTCTAACATTTGTGGCTGATGTTTTAGTCCCGCGACTCATATCAAACTTCAATTGTTTGGATTCAGTGATTTCAGCATCTTCAAGTGTGTCGTGAAAAGTACCAACAACATATTTTTGACTTTATGCTTTGCTTTTAAAAAAATGACTTTATGCATGTCGGAAATTAATGAGAAGTGAAAGATCTTAGCTGAATGACAAATTCTCTTCTATTAGCATCCATTTGTGTATAATCCAATGAGATATTATCTCCCTGCAAAGTACAACCATTTAAATTTGTCTCGTCACATGGTTTTAAATGACAGTTTATTCCAAAAATATTATAGTGAGCAGCTGCAATCTCAAAATAGCAAGTATCGATCATTACCATTTTAATCAACTCAATTGCAGTTGCATTGAGCAAATATTTTGCGTTTTCTCCATAAACAACATCTTCAAGTGTGATTCCTTCTCCAAATAACTCAACCAAGATTGTTAATCTAAAACCAAAAGTAGTAAACTTTTTGTTGCAAGGTAGTTGGATACTTGGATTTAGTAATGATTATATTACCTTGGTAATCCCACATCATTTGGTTGAGCGCAATTAGGACAATAGAATGGCTGGTTGTGTTGAGCAAGCACTTTTTTTGTAGGACCAATCACATGATTCACATGTTATGCTCCATGGCCGAACACGGGGAGGAATTATGTTCACCTTTGCTTTTATCCAAATAGGGTTTGACTAAAAGGAGAAATAAATCATTGTTATGACATACACATGCAAATAAACTCATATTGATTTTTTAGAGATGATTTTTAAATATGAAACAACTTACAATTGGCATTGTTGGTGGAACTGTTTTTAGAGAACGCACCTCATACTTGTAGAATTCAACCAATGCAATAGTAGCTCGGTTGTGGTCTCTTTTTTTAATTGCTCGGTTGAAAGCTTCTTTGTTATTTTTTGCCCTTAATAGAAGCATATGGTTTAAGTGAAATTTGAAGCAAATAAATGTATTGAGTCGGAAGTGTTTGTATATATGAAGATAAAAGGGTTTGACTAAGATGAGTGTTGGGGTAATGGCCCAAGCCGAGGTCCGGCCCATTAACCCCTTTTTACCAGACGTACGTCCAGTTAGAACACAAGATTAGCCCGCAGGCCCATGTTCCCTGGGGAGGGACGAACGTCTTGTGTTGAGGGCTCTTAGGCTCAACGGCCCACCGCGACGAACGTCTATGCAGGGACAAGAAGCAGGACCACGGGCCATCAGGGATGACGACGAACGTCTCCTGAGCAAGCTCGTAGTCATCGGAGGAAATCCAGTCCACATGGTGAGAATCCATCAAGGCCAGGAGACGAACGGCCGAAACCTCTTGAGGGTCACTTGGAGCGATCCAGCTCGCTTCCCGGGCGGACGAACGTCCCCATTATTTAGGCGGGAAACCTAGATTCTGGCGGGAAGTGCATTTAATGCTGAAGATTTGGTGGTTGGGACACAAGCGGTCCACAGGCCTCCACGTCAGCATAGCCACCTGCCCATTGGCGGGTATAAATAGAAGCATTTATTTCATTGTAAAAGGTTGGCAACTTTCTATTCTTAGCATTCTAGCTATAGCATTCTTACTCGCAGCACTTCTACTGCCTTGTAAGACGAACGGCCGACGGAGCCTTAGTGAAAAGTATTGTATTAGGGAGTTATTAAGAGATAATAATACCTAATCAACTACTTGCTACTTCTTGTTCTCCTTAATCCATATCATCTGCTTGTTGGGCTAGTTTACTCACACACACTCCATTCGAAATCTTTGGGCTTACGTGTTGGGCCTGAGGGTTGAAGGAATAAACCTCAACACTGGCGCCGTCTGTGGGAAACTGAACTAAAAGTTTCCAAAACTCTCCCAAACAGCTACTAAATCTACCCACAGCAAGCACGATGACAAGAAACAACCGCCAACGTGACCTCGCCGAGCAGCTGTCCCGCGGACGAAGCAACCGCGGGCAAACCACGGAAGGTTCCGAGACGTTGGGGACAACTGGGGGTGAGGGTGGCCTCACAAACCTCATCCCCCATGAGGCCAGACGCGACCCTCGACTCATGAGGGAGCTGGCGGAGACAATGCGTCGAATGGCGGACGAACAGGAGGCGAACGAAGAGGTGTACTCGGCTAACACCATCTGGACGCCCATATCACCCATCCACCGCATGCAGTCCCTGGATGAGACAGCGGAATCTGCCGGGCGTCGGACGCCCATCCACATGAGGTTGGGTCAAAATCTGTCCTCCCACGGAGCTGGGGGGCACACCAGCGCCAGCACCCCTCGATATGGTTGGCAGGACGATCATCGGGGGCGTACGCCGGACGTTCCCTCAGAACATCAGGGCACCACCATCACCCCCGCTGCCAGTAATATTGGACGACGTTTCCACAGGCATGGTGCCCACATCACCCGAAGGCAACCCGACGCGGTTGCCCCTCGAAGGAACGTTGCGCTCGAGGCCGCCCCTCCTGTGTCCCCCGGAAGGGCCGCACAGGAGGCCCGGCTAGAGGCAATGGAGCGGCGAATAGCCGAAATGGACAGACGGGCGGAGGCCGCCCCGGCCACACCTCGTTTTTCCCTCACCTCACCTTTCACTCCGACGGTCATGAATGCAGAGATCCCGCGGGACTGCAGGCCCCCCCAAGGGATAGTATACAATGGGACCGGAGATCCCAAGGCCCACCTGATCAGCTTCCAGGGGAACCTTTCCATGCTGGGAGCATCCGATGAGGCCATCTGCCGGCTCTTCTTCAGCACCCTGAGGGGCCCGACGCAGGAATGGTTCGGGCAGCTGAGGCCCGGATCCATTGACAACTACGAACAGCTGTCCCAGCAGTTCATGGCACAATTCGCTGCCAGCACCACCCCCAAGAAGAGCTTCACATCGCTCACCGGTGTGAAGCAGGGGAAGGACGAGCCTCTGGCCTAATTTCTGGTCAGATGGAGAGACGAAGTGCTCCAGGTGGATGACCTGGACGAGCGGCTGGGAGTAAACATGTTCACCAGTGCTCTGGCAACGGGGGACCTATACCGGGACCTTCGGAGGAACCCCAGCACCAGCTACACCGAAGTGCTGGCTCGGGCACAGAAGTACGCCTCCATTGAGGAGGAGATCAGACTGAGGGACGGCGCGCCCGTAGCCTCTTCCCGGAAATTGGCGGATAGGCTCGGCCCCGGGGGCGGACCCCCCCCCGAACAAAAAGAAGAAGATGGACGGCGGCATGGTTCCGTGGAAGGCTCATCCGGAGGCCAGCCGCATACGTCCGGAGGAGTACCATGTCCCCCTGGCTTACCCCGTCAGCCAGATTTTTGACGCCATCAAAGACAAGGGCATCCTGAGGGAGCCCCAAGACAAGAAGGCGCTTATGGGTCTTGATGAGACCGCATATTGCGAATACCACCAGAGGGTCGGCCACCTCACCGACAATTGCAAGCAGCTGAGAATGGCCATCGACGAACTGATCCGGCAAGGCTACCTGGGCGAGTTCACCCAACTACTGAAGAAGAATAGCCCGAGGCAGCCGAATCCGAGGTCACGATCATGGCGCCGCGATGATCGGCGCGAGGCGGAACCGAAGGACGTAGATTATCGGAGTGCTGACAAACATCCGGAGGGGTCCCTCGGCCCGAGCGGCGGGAAGAAGAAGTTGGAGATCAAGGTGATCTTTGGGGGCGCTGAGACTGACTGGGGACACGCCTGCGGAGCGGAAGAAGTTTGAGAGGTCCCTCTACGTGGGTTCCATATCAGCTCCCCCCGCCAAAAGGAACAAGGTGGAGGCCATCACCTTTGGACCGGCCGACCTACCGATGTCACCGGCCCCTCACAGGGATGAGTTGGTGATCAGCATGGATGTCAACAATGCGATCGTCCGACGCGTCCTTGTTGATACTGGAAGCAGCGTGAACGTCCTCTACTGGGAGGCGTTCGAAGGAATGAAGCTGAGAAAAGATCAGCTGGCCCCTCTACGCACCCCTCTCTCTGGCTTCACGGGGGATTGCATCGATGCGGAAGGCACCATCGGCCTCCCCGTGGAGATCGGGGATGGACCTCACACCACCCGCATCCGGATGACGTTCGTCGTGGTCCGCCTAAAATGTGCTCACAACGCAATTTTGGGCCGGCCCGGCCTAGAGGATCTTGAGGCCGTCTGCTCCGTGCGGCACTCATGCATCAAGTTCCCCACCGAGACTGGAGTGGGAGTGGCCCGCACGGACCCACACATGGCCAGGGCCTGCTACACTAAAGCCATGGAGAGGTTCAGAGAGCGAGAAGCCCGGGTCAACAGCATCACTGAGAGGGCCAGACAGGCCGACTTCGATGCTCGTCTGGAACCGGCTGCCCTGCTCGAAGAGGTGGAGTTGGATGACCCTTCGGACAGGAAGGTATCCATTGGCGCCGACCTTGAGCCTGAGATCAAGGAAGGGGTCATAGCCGTCCTCCGGAAATTCAAGATCCTATTTGCCAGAGGGCCGGAGGACATGCCTGGCATAGACCCCAACCTCATATGCCACAGACTCGCTGTACGGCCGGATGCCAAACCTATCCAACAGAAGAAGAGGTACATGGCAGCCGAGCGGCGA